CTCTTTCTCTCTCTCTCTCTCTCTCTGGCACACGGGCGGGAGGCCGTTTTCGCCGCCGGCTGGGTGCCTGGATACAGTACGGCCAGGGTGGTAATTACTGTACTACTCCCTTCACCGCCGAGGGGGTTGAACATCGCGCACAAGTCCACATCAAAAAGATTCGAGGTCGGCTACAAATTGTGCGCAGGGGGGTGGGGGTCTCCGTTTCGCCTTAAATAGACACGAGGAGCGACGGCGCGAGAGGACGTTCTCGCTCGCTCCTCGCTCGCCGGCGACTGTTCCCGAAAATGAGAGACGCAACAGAGGCAGCCCAGTGAAAATAGAGGAAGGCGCCGGGCGGCCGCCGCGCCGTGCGTCTGCTGGTCGTCAGCCCCGCCGTGCGTCTGCTGGTCGTCAGCCCCGCCAGGCCACCAGGCAGGGCCACCAGGCAGGGCCACCAGGCAGGGCCACCAGGCAGGGCCACCAGGCAGGGCCACCAGGCAGGGGCAGGGCCACCAGGCAGGGGCAGGGCCACCAGGCAGGGCCACCAGGCAGGGCCACCAGGCAGGGCCACCAGGCAGGGCCACCAGGCAGGGCCACCAGGCAGGGCCACCAGGCAGGGCCACCAGGCAGGGCCACCAGGCAGGGCCACCAGGCAGGGCCACCAGGCAGGGCCACCAGGCAGGGCCACCAGGCAGGGCCACCAGGCAGGGCCACCAGGCAGGGCCACCAGGCACGGCCACCAGGCAGGGCCACCAGGCACGGCCACCAGGCACGGCCACCAGGCAGGGCCACCAGGCCGCCGCAGTTCTGTCTCCATTTGCTCTCGCTCTCTGTGTGTCTCTCGCGTCGAAAATAAAGTAATTGGACACTGCGCACTGTAGCGCCGCGTGGCGTGGCGCGGCGCCAAGACGACGAGGTAAAGAGTGGCCCCCCTTTTTTTTCGCTCCACCCGCGCACCGCTTCCGTTTTACTCTCCCTCCAATTTTATCCGGAACGCGAGGCGGGGCGGGGCGGGGCGGGGCGAGGCGGGGCGAGGCGGGGCGGGGCGGGGCGAGGCGGGGCGGGGCTGCGCGTGCGCGGAGTCGCTGACAACAGGCACGTGCAAATATTTGCCGAGTCGCGACGAGAACGGCGAGAACGGCGAGGACAGAGTGCGGATGAAAGGCAAAGAAAAAAGGGATGAAGCGAGGGGTGCCTCCTGTAAGCCGCGTCGCCGCGCCACGCCACGCCGCGCACATCGGTGGCTCTGTCTGTGCATGCTGAATGTCCTTTAATGGTGACATCTAGCTGTCTTTAATTTAATTTAATTATTGATCAAGGTGGTTTCTTTTTTATAAAAGTCGGTTGATGTCGGTAATGAAAGCCGGCTGCCGCGCGTTCGACGTCGTTCGACTAACCGGCACCGCCTCTCTTTCCCCTTTCATCGCACCGCCGGTATGTAAAGCACTTGGTCCGCAGGTGTTTCGAAGCACGGCCAGCGCTGCGCCGCGCAACACCAACTTTCCAGCACCGAGGTCCTTCCCAGTCCACCGCGAATCTCAAGCAACTCTCGTTCTAAATGCTTCTTTAAACAAATTGCGGGCCACACAGTTTGGGCTTCCCTTCGAAAGAAACGCCGCGGAAAGGCCATTACCATAAGGTAAGGTGGCTTTCCAGTTTCCAGTGGTGCTGCACGCCGCGCTGCCGCGTTCCGTGCCAAGAGGTCCTTTACCTGTAATTATTGCCGCCAGTGTACTTGCAGGCTTGCAGGCGCAGAGGGCTCGGCCCGGCCCGGCCGTCGTAATAGGCAGGTAGACGCACGCTGCGGGGCGGGGGGCAGTTGCACACACTGTCAGTGCCCGACACCCCGCCCCGCCCCGCCACTGCCCACACCGTGCCACACGGGGACAGCTGTGTCTTCTTTACGGCCGAAACCCTCGGCGGTCTACGACTCTACACTGTACGACTGGGTCGGGCCTGGGCAAGGCCCTGGGCCCTGTCCGAGCGAGCCCTTGCCCAGCGCTGGCCGCGGCCCTAGGCCCTAGCGCACGCACGCCGCGCGCGGCGCGCGGCCCGGCTATCGAGATGGTCACGAACCCACGGCCGGGGGACACGCCAGGGGGGGGGGGGGCGATCGGCAGTCTCTCGCACCATTCCGACGCCGGCCCCGTCGGACTGACTCCCCTCCCCCACCCTCCAAGGTTCCTGCCGGAATTTTAAGTTTAGAGTCACCGTGCCACCGGGCCGTCGGCGTCGGCCCGCCTGCCCGCCCTTCTGGGGCCCTTCGCCCCTCGCCGTCCCCTCCGCTTTTCGGGCGCAGCTTTTGTTCTAGCCGACATGGCAACACTGTAGGGAGGGAGGGGGGGAAAGGAAGGGCACAACCGGCGGAAGTTTTAAAAAAATCACGAGCTGTGGCGGCGGTGCGGGCCGGCCGGCCAGCCAGCCAGGCAGCCAACGCGACCCCTGCCAGCCAAGCCCTTGCTCATTCGAAGCGAACAGCGCGCAGGACGACGGTGAATTAAGTAAGAAGGCAAGCGGGTGGAAACCGGAGCCGCTCGAACAGTCGAACCGAACCCCGCCACCCCGCCTCTTCGGCAACCCGATCGGCCCCGGCGCGGCCCGCCGGGATATAAGCCCTGCCCGATGGTGCCCGATGGTGCCTGACGGCCCTCAGTGGGCCAGAAGACCGGTGGAGGCGGCCAAAACTCAAGACGCGTTTTGAGCTCCAGAGTCGCCAAATGGGAGTCGAACCGAACGTGTGACCCCACCAATGGATTGCTCTTCGAACGAGGAATCCATTGGTGGGGTCACACGTTCGGTTCGAGTCCCATTTGGCGACTCTGGAGCTCAAAACGCGTCTTGAGTTTTGGCCGCCTCCACCGGTCTTCTGGCACACTGTGCGGCCGGAAGATTGCTAGATAGAAGAAGCAGCCGCGAGCCGCGGCCCGAAGACAAACCGAGCGCAATCGACCAGCGCGGTACCGCCTGGCGGGTACCGTAGCGACCAGTGAAGAAGCGACCCCGCACTCGTACCTACACTGCGCCAACGCCGCCCGCGCGCTCGGCAAACTCCACATCATCATTCCGGCAATGTGCGCCGGCTCCGGGAATAACAATTTGTTTGCCTTCATCAGCGAGCGCGCGCGGTGCCGGGCCCGCCTACGGGGCGCGCGAACGGCATAAGCGGCCGCATGTTTTCCTTATTCCAACACCCTGGTCCCGGTTCCGGGGTGGGGCGGATCGGCCGCGTGACGCGGGGAGGGGCGAGGCGGGGCGGGGCGAGGCGGGGCGGGGCGGGGCGAGGCGGGGCGGGGCAGGGCGGGGCGGGGCGAGGCGGGGTGGGGCGGGGCGAGGCGGGGCGGGGCGAGGCGGGGCGAGGCGGCGTTCGGCTCCCATCTGTGACATCGGCAGCGTCGTGACACAATTGCTGCGGTCACGGAAACGGGGGTCGCCGCTGCCGCCTGCTCCTGCAGTCCGACTTGGAGCGAGCAGTCGCTCTGTCTCTCTCGCACCCTCACGAGCCTCGCGGCACGCGCCGTGAGTGCGAGAGAGACCGCCGCCACGCGTGCCGCAGAGCGTCCCGGAGCCGGCGACCGAACGGACTCGGAAATAAATCAAGAGCGCTCCGGACTTTCTATTATTCGGATGAATCTCAATTCACTGCATACATGTGTTTCCGGAAATAAATTGAGCCGGGCGCGCCGCAGGGAAACAAAGAAAGCAACAACAAAGACGATGTCAACAACAACAACAACAACAAAAACAACAACAAGGGCGGCGCCGTGTCGAGGGCAGGCCGTTGCAACCGATGCGTTGTCGTTGTCTGGACGCGGTGTTGTTGTTTTGCATTTCGTTTTCGCATCCGCGAGATCCGGCATTCTTGGCTCGCACGCATTGCCTCCAGCCAAGGCCAGGGCCGCGCAAGCTGACTGACGCGGCCGTTTCGTCGCTCTGTCTCTCTCGCACTCATGGGGCGTCCCGTCAGCGTGCGAGAGAGACAGAGCGACTCTGGCTGCAGGGCCGTGAATCCAGCGGCTCGACGGGATCAAAGTTGTCGACCCCCTCGAGCCCCGCCTAACTAACCTCATCCCCGGAGTCTACTCAACTTGGCCCTGGAAGGCTGGAACCTCGTCGCGCGGAGTCTTCGGCGACAAGATCTCTCTGCTCGGCGAGCTCAACCTCAACCGCTAGATTTTAAAGACGATTCAAAGGGGGCGAGTTTCCCTGTCAGGTACCAGCCAGCCAGGCAGGCAGGCAGGCAGGCAGGCAGGCAGGCAGCCAGCCAGTCAGGCAGTCAGGCAGGCAGGCAGGCAGGCAGGCAGGCAGGCAGGCAGCCAGTCAGGCAGGCAGGCAGGCAGGCAGGCAGGCAGGCAGCCAGGCAGGCAGCCAGGCAGGCAGGCAGGCAGGCAGGCAGCCAGGCAGGCAGGCAGGCAGCCAGGCAGGCAGGCAGGCAGGCAGCCAGCAGGCAGGCAGCCAGGCAGGCAGGCAGGCAGGCAGGCAGCCAGGCAGCAGGCAGCCAGGCAGGCAGGCAGCAGGCAGGCAGGCAGGCAGGCAGGCAGGCAGGAGCCAGGCAGGCAGGCAGCCAGGCAGGCAGGCACCAGGCAGGCAGCCAGCCAGGCAGGCAGGCAGGCAGGCAGGCAGGCAGGCAGGCAGGCAGGCAGGCAGGCAGGCAGGCAGCCAGGCAGGCAGCCAGGCAGGCAGGCAGCCAGGCAGGCAGCCAGCCAGGCAGGCAGGCAGCCAGGCAGGCAGGCAGGCAGGCAGGCAGGCAGGCAGGCAGGCAGGCAGGCAGGCAGCCAGGCAGGCAGCCAGGCAGTCGGTCGCCGAGGGGACGGCCAAAGTTTTTATTCTCCGTTTTGTCGGAATATCTTTTGGCGAGGCGACCGCCAATCGTCACCATTCATCGCCGAGGCGCCGAGGCCGGGGGGCTGATTGCGGTTCGTCGTCCTGGATAATTACCCTGGATTCTACTCTGGCATTCTCGCCGCCGACGGCGACGCTCCGCTTAGCAAAATATTGCGAAAGAAAAAAGGTCGACTCACCTTTCTCGTCCACGCTGAAGTAGCCCTGGCCGTCGCCGCCGCGGATGGAGTACGTGACCCTGGAGTCGTCGCCGGGCGCGTCGGCGTCCGAGGCCTTGACGGCCGTCACCACGGTGCCGGGCGGCGCGTCCTCCTTGACGGCGGCCGTCTCCACCAGGTCGGCGAACAGGGGCGCGTGCGCGTTCTCGTTGACGTCGATGAGGTGCACGGTGAGCGTGGCCTCGCTCCAGAGCGGCGGCGAGCCGCGGTCCGAGGCGCGCACCGTCAGCACGTGCACCTGGCGCTCCTCGTAGTCCAGCTCGCGCAGCGTGCGCACCGTGCCCGTCAGCGCGTCGATGCGGAAGAACGCGCCCTGCAGCGCGTCCAGTGTGTCGTCCTCGTCGGGGTGCTTGAGGCTGTAGCGCACCTCGCCGCCCAGCGCCAGGTCCGGGTCCGTGGCCTGCACCACGGCGATCACGCTGCCCGCCGGCACGTCCTCCAGCACGCGCACGGACAGCTCGGGCAGCGCGAAGCGCGGCGGGTTGTCGTTGATGTCGTCCACCGTCACGCGCACCTGCGGCAAGGACACCGCCACGCTCAAAGACCGAAACCGAGGGGTGACCCGCTGTAAAATTTTGTGTACAATGATTGTGTGAATGTGCAAGAATGTGCAAGATTTCTGGCGCTTTTGCCACACTTGTTGCCTACTTACAGGCGTTTTTGCCACCAAAATGTGGAATGTGGTCAAATTTTGTACAATGAATGTGGGAAGCTGTTCGACCGAAACACTCTCCGCGAAATATCGACAACAACGAAATCGGAGCCTGCGACTTACTTGCGCGGTGGCGCTCTGCGGCGGGTCGCCGAAGTCCCTGGCCACGACGAGCACCTCGTAGACGTCCTGGCGCTCGCGGTCGAGCGGCGCCGTGACGCTGAGCACGCCGCGGGCGTCCACCGCCAGGTCGGGCGTCTCCGTCTCCATGGAGTACACCACGCGGCCGTTGTCGCCCGCGTCGGGGTCGGTGGCGTTGAGGCGGAAGATGACGGTGCCGTTCTGCGCGTCCTCCGTGACGCGGAAGCTGGCCAGGGCCTTCTCGAAGCGCGGCGCGTTGTCGTTCACGTCCAGGACGGTGATGGGCAGCACGCGGTGCGTGGACTTGCTCGGGGTGCCCATGTCGTAGGCGGACACGTTGAGCAGGTACTCGCCCTCCTTCTCGCGGTCCAGGTAGCCGACGAGCCGCAGCTCCCCGCTGTCCAGGTCCATCTTGAAGAGCGAGTCCGTGTCCCCGGACGCCACGCCGTACACCAGCTTGCCGTTGTAGCCGAGGTCGCGGTCGCGCGCGCGCACGCGCACCACCACGCTGCCCAGCGGCAGGGACTCGTTGACGCGCACCTCGAGCGGCAGGTCCACGAACTCGGGGGCGTGCACGTTGGAGCCGTAGCGCGGCGGCACGAGCGGGAAGTCGTCCTGGTCGCCGGCGTGCGGCGCGTTGTTCCTCTCGGCGGCGGCCAGCACCTCCGTGAGGCGGCGCGCCACGCCCGTCTCGCGGCAGTCGAAGAAGCCCTTGGGCGGGCCCACGGCCGGCCCCGTCGCGTCGCGCTTGGCGTTCACCAGGTTCACCTGCAGCCGCAGCACGTCCGAGAAGTGCGTGCCGTCGCTGGCCGTCACGTTCAGCTCACGCCTCGCCGCGCGCACGTCCGCCAAGTCGCACGTCACCTGCGGGGGCAAGCGGGACAAGCGGTCAGTCGATTGCGTCGGGGAATTGCCTGTCAGAGTGTAGCGGCATTAGCGCGCGGCCATTAGCCCGCCAAGCGGCGGATAGGCCAGCCCGCCGAGCACGCCCGCGCGCCGCGCTGCCTACACCGCTAAACAAACCCCCATTACCTGCAGCAGGCCCGTGGCGGCGTCCAGCGAGAAGCAGCCGTCCTCCGAGCCGCCCTCGATGCGGTACGAGATGACGCTGCCCTCGTCGAAGTCGATGGCGGACAGCGTGAGCAGGTCGGCGCCGATGGCCAGGTGGCGGGGCACGTGGCCCACGCAGTCCACGCGCTCGAACTGCGGCCGGTTGTCGTTGACGTCGCGGATGTGCACGCGCAGCGTCGTCTCCGTCTGGCGGCGGTAGGGCTGCCCCCAGTCCGACGCGCGGATCCTGAGCACGTACTCGCGCCGCATCACCTCGTAGTTGAGCACCTGCGGGGCAACGCCGGGCAACGGTCAGAGCATGCTAAACGGAGGCACCCAATGGCGGGTCCACTGTATCTCGTCCGCGGAGAGAGTTCCGAAAGTGCGGCCACTGCCGAGATGATGCCCATGTTTGACCCACCTGCGTGGTGCGGACCCAGCCCGTGAAGTGGTCCACCTCGAAAGGCACGGGTGCCAGGTTGGCGATGAGGTACGAGATGTAGGCGTTCTCGCCCGAGTCCTTGTCCCTGGCCATGACGCGCGCCACCTGCAGCCCCGGGGGCTCGTTCTCGTTCACGAACACGGTCTGCTCGGGCGTGTCGAACACCGGGTCGTTGTCGTTCGTGTCCAGGACAGTCACCTGCAACAGTGGCGCGAACCACGTTCAAGTTAGGTGTCCCGACGAGGAAACAGGTCAGAAACAGTTTCGAAGAGGGTAGGAAGGCGTACCTCGATCCTGGCGGAGCTCTGCTTGCGCGCGCCGGCGTTGCCCTGGTCCAGCGCGGACACGGTGAGCGCGTACGACTTCTTGGTCTCGGCGTCCAGGGCCTTGGCCGTGTACAGCATGCCCGAGTCTGGGTTGAGCCAGAAGGCTCCGTCCTCGTTGCCGCCCACGATCTCCAAGTGCACCTGCAACAAACAGTGCGGGCGGTCAGTGCGGTCACCAGCAGTGCACCAGACCGTCAACGTCGGCGTCAAACGGCGCACACACAGTGTGGCGCACACACTGGAACTGGCAGCTCACACGGGCACGGCGCGACGCGCGTGACGGCGTGTGACACTCGTTTCGCGCGTACGTCGCACTCCATTATCCTAATGACCCCCTTGCTGGTGGTGGCACGGCGGCGGTACAGTGGTGTGGCGGGGAGGTCCATTAGGCCATCAAGTAGGCCGTGGCGGCGCGGCGCATCACAGGGTGACGGGGGTGGGGGTGGGGGCGGCTCACGGGCTCCGATGCGCCCGCCGCCCGCCACACTGCAGGCTGCTTCCGAACGGCGCTGCCGTCGCTCTGTCTCTCTCGCACGCGTGCGCCGCGGCGGTGGTGGGAGAGAGACAGAGCGACGCAGCACTGAGGGGAACCACTCTGCTGCAGCGACCACCAAACTCGGAGCGCCCCCTCCCTTCCCGCCAACGTCGACGTCGTGGTGTTGGCGCGCTGGGTCGCCGTTTGTTTGTTTGAAGGGCGCGGCGGTGGCGGTAGGGCAGTGTACGCGTCGGCGTCTTCCGCGGCGACGCACAGTGGGCCAGAAGACCGGTCGAGCGGCCAAAATTCCAGACGCCTTTTGAGCTCCAGAGTCGCTAAATGGGACACAAACCGACCGTGTGGCCCCACCAATGGATTCCTCGTTCGGAGAGCAATCCATTGGTGGGGTCACACGTGCGGTTCGAGGCCTGTTTAGCGACTCTGGAGCTCAAAACGCGTCTAGAATTTTGGCCGCTCCACCAGTCTTCTGGCCCACTGTGCGACGCTTCGCCGCCAGAGGGCGCCGCAGCCACAGCGCCGCGCCGGCTAGGCAGGCGGCAGGTGCAGCCGGGCGACGCACGCAGACAGTGCTGCCGGTGCCACCGTGCCACCGCCCCAAACTAGAGCGCGCGCAACCACCGGGGCGAGAGAGGTGCAGAGATGTGCTGCCGGCGGCCTCTCTCTCTCTCTCTCTCTCTCTCTCTCTCTCCTCTCTCTCTCTCTCTCTCTCTCTCTCTCTCTCTCTCTCTCTCTCTCTCGCTCGAGGCCGTCGTCGTGCCTGCACCCACTTAGCACACCGGGGGGTGAAGATTGTTGCTCCGAGACCGCGACCTATTCTGAGGGAGCACCTCGGGCCGGCCTGCCCTTCATTCTAACACCTCTTCCGCAACCAACCCCCTGGCTTCAATTACCAACCCCACCTCGCCCCCCCCTCCCCTCCAACCCCCCGGATTCAATTCCGGGCGCGCCCCTGGTGGCTTGTCAGTCTCGTGGGACATGTTGGAGGGGGGCGGGCAGGGCGGGTTTAAAAGCAGGGCAGCTTACAAGCGTCGGCCGCGCTCGCTGCGTGCGCGGCCGGGAATACCAAGTGCCGTGAGTAATCCCCCTCCCCTCCCCCCCCTTCTTGGCCCAGCCCGTTTACACAGGTCGTCCGTGCTGTAATTTCAAACGCTTGCCGCTTCGCTGCCAAGTGGTGTGGCGCGGCGCGCAAAGACGTGGCGGCGGCCTGGCCAGGTGCGCACGCACGCACGCACGCACACACCACGTCCCCTCGGGGCGAGCGCGGAGGAGGGGGAGGGGCAGAGGGGTGCTGAAGCGGGGCTGGAGGGGAGGGGGAGCGCGGAGCGGGGGGCTCGTCAAACATGACGCATTAGCCGTCGCGTGGAACAGGTACCAATCCCTTTCACCTCATCTAAGTTTCAGACTCGGCGGCACTGTTCCGGGAGAGGGGGGGGAGGGGGGAGGGGAGCGCCAGCGGAAGGAGCAAGGATCAAGCCCGGCAGGCGGCGCAGGCGGCGGGGTGGCTACAAGTTAGGCGAGCCCAAACGGGAACGCAACAAGCTCACACGCAGAGCGGCAGAGCGCGGAGGCGCGGAGCACACACCGGAAAAGGGGCGACCTCGCCGACATACATGGCGTTGTCGGGGATGATAAGCTACCGGTATTATATATTTTGGTATTTTAAATCGGTTTTGAACCGAATAAGATACTGGACCATACTGGTATAAAACCGTAAAACACCAAAAAATTCAGAAATCCCGGTTTAATACCGGGTTTAAAACCCTATAATACCGTAAAATACCGACCAATAAAATACCGGTGGCACACTGGAGAGACGCCACGCTCCTGGAGCATCGACGAGAAAGGACAAAAATAACACGTTTCTAGGTGTAGGAGCGTCTACGCAAAATATGTACACACTTCTGAAACTTTAAAACAATTATTCTAAAAGCATACATCGAAAACGCCGTAGGACGTGGCTCAGTCGGTCGCGGCGTCCGTCGTCGACGGCGACTCCCCCGCTGGGCCGCTGCGCTCGGGTTCGGCGGTTCGACCCCCGGCGAGGACCTCAATCAAATTATATTGGCAAACCAGATTAGCCGACATTGATTTGAGCCGACGGCCCGACGTTGGCGGCATGAACCGCCAGATAGAGGGTTAAATATTTGGTCCCGAGGGCGGAGCGGCGGAGGGAGGGAGGGTAAGCCTTTCTCCCTTTTACATCCCCCTTTTTTTGTTCCTTTTTTATCGAAAACAAAGACGGTTCTCATCGCACCGCGCGATACACCGCGCTGTATTTGTGCTCTGCCTACAAAAGGGAGCAACCGGCGCCCTCATGCAAATCTAGCCCCGCTCAGCAGCCGTCGAAGGGCGTGGCGTGGCGTGGCGTGGCGTGGCAGGGCGTGGCGGGGCGTGGCACTAACGTCGGCATTTGCATTTTATATGAATAATCCAGGAACACACACGCACGCTAATCGACAATGAATACAGAGAGACAGCCGGGCGGCCCGGTCGATGCGAGCCTCCCAACTACGACGACGACGCCAGAATTGGCGGAATTGGCGAAATTGATTCGAAGCGACGAAGGGGCTTCCTGGGCGCGCCGGCCGCCCTGGCGACGGCGAAGGGACTAGACAATGCAGCCCGGCTCTCGCCGCCGCGTCCCCTTTGGGACCGGTGGGGCGCGAATTATGAATCTGGAAGGACTGTGCAGGCCGCGCCTCACAGTGGGCCAGTAGACCGGCGCAGCGGCCAAAACTCCAGACGCGTTTTGAGCTCCAGAGTCGCTAAATAGCACTCGAAACGTTCGTGTGACCCCATCAATGGATTGCTCTCCGAACGAGGAATCCATTGGTGGGGTCACACGTTCGCTTCGAGTCCTGTTTAGCGACTCTGGAGCTCAAAACGCGTCTAGGGTTTTGGCCACTGCGCCGGTCTTCTGGCCCACTGTGCGCCGCCGGCCGCCCAACACTCAGCACGGCCATTTAGTCCGCGAGGCTCCGCGGGGCAAGGTGGGGCCGCCGAGCGCTCCAACTTTAACTCGTGAATGGGCTAACCGAGTCCCCCCCCCACTTATTACTACTTTTCCACCCCGAGGCACTTTACTTCCGCCGCGTCGAATGAATCGGTCGCGGATTGCGAGAGAAATAACACAAAAAGAGAGATAGAGAGAGAGAGAGAGAGAGAGAGAGAGAGAGAGAGAGAGAGAGAGAGAGAGAGAGAGAGGCGGAGAAAGAGGATAAAAAGGCGCGGTACACAAAAGAGAGAGACAAAAGAGGGAAGGGGGGAGGAGCGGGCGCGCACCTCTCGCCGCTCAAGCTTATCGGAAAGCGAAATAATACGATGAAACTTTTCCTTTACTCCTCAAAATGATTTTCATTCGTATCCGGCGCGACCCGCCGCGGCAGTCTAATTGGCTCAGGGAGACACGGGCGGTCTCTGTCGCACGCGCGGCGGGGCGAGGCGCGCGCCGCGGCGGTGCGAGAGAGACGGCGCGACGGAACGACCTCCGGAATCGCTCGGCGGGGAAGCCAACTTGGGCGCGCGTTTTGGCCGCCTTGCCCGGCTGTGCTGCCTGTTCCTGGCTTGCCCGGCTCGCAAAGTATTCCCATTACGCGTTGCCAACCGTTGCGCGGCACGGCGGCACGGCGCCGCGGGGAGTCGAACACGCGGCCGCGCGGTCGGGCCGACGGGCTGACGGTGCGATGACGCAATAACAGCGCGCTGACCGCTCTCCGGGCTCAAAAACAACTCGAGCACTTGGCGAACCAATTTCGGCCACGAAGAAATCCTTGTTACAAAGTAGTGCCTGCAACTTTTGTTATTCTTTTCTTTTTTTTCACACGTTGTTTGTTTTTTTCGCTTCCGCTCCCTCTTTCTATCTCCGCACGGCAGAGGCGGAGAAAACCCTCGAATCTCTCTCCCCCGCGAAAGGAATATGATTAACATCTGAGTCGAGATTAGCAGTGATAGTAACCATTGTGGGGCAGGGTGCGCGCAGAAGACCGCCCTCTCGCTTGTTTACGGGCCGAGCGGAATGCGGATGGGTGTGTGTGTGTTTGTGTGTGTGTGTGATTGTGTGTTTGTGTGTAGGTGTGTGTGTGTGTGTGTGTGTGCGCGCGCGCTTGTGTGCTGCGTTCCGCACATAGCATAATTCACTCATCAAACGCTGCGCGCGCGCCGAGCCTCGCAACACTAACGGAACAAAAAAGAAAAGCCAAATATCAAAGGCTGGCGCACGCAAACACAGTCGCGTCTGCTGAAACCGAAGGGGAAAAAAAACGAGAAAAGCGAAAAATAAGCGTGGCGACTCAGTGGGGCAATATTTAAGCATGTTGATTACCCTAAGCAACAAGTGATCTCAATTTCGTAGCCAATGCGCAACCTCTGGCTGCATGGGCCCCGCCAGCCGGCCAGCCGGCCAGCCAGGCAGCCGGCCACGCCGGGCCGGGCCAGAGCCCCCGGGGTGTCTAGCGGCCGCGAAAGACAGACCCGCACCAAGTTGGCGGGAACTTGAGTTAAGTTGGCAACTTGGGGTATTTTCCCCGTGAATGACGAGAGTTAGACGGCGCGAGAGTAACTTGCTTTTCCGAGATAAATGCCCGCACAGTGTTGTGCATAACGCGAGCCTGACGCTGGTGTACCTGCAATCCCCGGCGAGTACAGT